GAATGGTGGCGGGTGGGTTCACTGTTACCGTATTTCATTAACAAAGTTTATTCCCATTGTTATTGTTGACAAGCAAATTCATCAGTTAGATTTTTTATAAATAGCTAGTAAAGAATTCATGCAAAAAGCTAAATTTTTCTATGCTTTTGACAAAGAAATTTTTGCACAAATTTTTTATTTACACTTCGGAAAATGATCTTTTTCTCATGAACAGCATACTCCCGGATTACTTGCGCTGTTATTTGTTGATGCATATTTGATTAAATTAAAGGGGTAAAAGCGAAAGATTGCATCGACGGTGCGCAGTTTTTTCTTGGGCTTTGCTACGAAAGAAACTGAAGAACAAAAGCCAAGAACTCAAAATTATGACCAACACCTAACATTCCTTCTAAGTGATTTTTGATTGAAATTTACATTGTTTTCTGAATTGTCCAGTGTGGAATTTGTGGTGCACTATGGTAGTCCATTTCCCCTTACTTTTTTGACGGAAAACTCACGAAAAGTCGGCTAAGAAGCCAATACAAAGAAAAAAGGGAATAGAAAAAAGGGATCTCGCATCTTGGAAAGCAGATGTACAGTAGACGTGCTGCCAGGCTGAACTTGGAACACAAGCAGCGGTGGTGTAGTGGTAACATATTGCATCCGGACGTGAACGGGATTGGTTCGATTCCCTCCCGGTCCAGCGTGACTTTTGAGAAAGGGCTCCGCTCACGACCTTTTTATCCGTCTTGCACAGCATGCGCATTGGTTTCTCTGATGAGTCGCCGGTTTCTTTTAGATTTGCGTTGATGAGGCACAAATGGTGGAAAGCACATCAAGTGTAGTGGCAACAATGTGCGAAGAGTTACATGCTGTAAACCGATGGTGCATCACAGGCACACCAGCCACTCATTCCCTCGATGGTATTAGCTACTCACTTTTTCGTTAAATTTTCAGGATTTTCGAATCTCACATCTAATGCTGAACAGTTATTGAAAACTATTACAGATCTCTACGGACTTTTGCGTTTTCTTCACGTGGAGCCATACTCGAATGAATGTTGGTGGCGCAATGATTTGATGGCTGAATACTGGCGGGGTAACAGTGAACCGT